TTAAAGTATAAACGACTTTCTGAGCAACTCAGAAACTTTTATTTCCATATCATTGTTACATTTGTTTAATGTGCAGATGAAAAACAATGCCTTATTTTTCTTTTTGACCTGCGTAGGATGTCTCTGTGTTAGAGCCTAAAGCCCACACTCTGCTTGGTTACCTTATGTAAGGCGATATTAATGTCCGTGTTGGTGGTGTGAAAGGCGGTTCAGGCGGCTGATGGGGGGTCAGACAGCTGAGTGGCAGCAGGAAAAAGCACATGTCATGTTTGTTTGGAGCCTCCTTTGTCACAGGCCACACCCCCTCCCCCTTTTCCTGCCCTTCTCTTGGCCTTATTTAGCCCCCCGCCGTGTCACCCAGAGGTCAGGGTGAGCACGCACACACTACACACCAACTCATGCATACACAGGCAACATAAGAACACACAGACATGCACACAGAGATTGTAATAGCATGGTAGAGTGCATCATAGATGGAAGTGCCTTGAAGGACCTGCTTCTCATTCTCTAGACCTCATTAGCTGCTGATTTATCTCCCCCCCTCCCTCCCCCCTAATGCTCTGGGTGGGTGGATTGTGTGTGTCTGTGTGTTTGTGGGACGGGAATACAGTTAGAGGGAGAAAGAAACGTGTATTTCCATGGATAAGTGTGTGTGTGTGTCTGTGTGTGTGTGTGTGTGTGTGTGTGTGTGTGTGTGTGAGAGAGGGAGGCAGATTTAGTGTCAAAGATGTTTTCTTTTAGTGTGTGCATGTGTGTATGTTGGTCCGCAGGTGTCAACTAGACACAGGGACTCTGTCGTTCCACATTAGCCTGCTGTGAGCACACTCGACCTGGGGTCAAACAGATTAATAAAAGATCACACAGACACATACACACACCGCACACTGAGCTGCTATCTGATTAAATATTCTGCAGCCCTGCTCTTAATAATCATGACAAGTACACGCAGCGCCCCTGCCCACCGTTATCCATTTAGCACATTTTTGTCTTGTCTAGCAATAATCTGCTCAACTCCCAAGTGAGCTTATTATTGGTCAAGGAAAAGTGCTTATAGCTGCACGTTAAGGTAGGATTTTGGAAAGATGTAAAACGTATTTTGCACAAGGAATTAATAGTGAAAGACTTTCCATCAAATTGAATTCCTGCTGTTTGCTCCCCACAGTTAAAGTGATAACTGATTTCTTTCCTTATTATCAAAAATGTTTTTCACTAAAAAGCACAGTACATTCATGTGTAAGACATTTATGATTGTTCAAGGCATCAGGTAAAGGAGCAGCACACTGGCGCTAATATGACTGTAACTCTGCCCTACATAATTCATGGAGGCCTGGGGAATGAATCTCCCAGGAGGAGAACCTTTTTCTGCCTTTACCTGATTCCCTCTACATCTCAGTCTCAGGAGACTTCTCAGAGGAAAAGAGATGAGGGGAATATTTCGTCATGCGGTGCATTTTGAAGTCCTCTTTTAAGTTAAAACACACACCACAACCATGGATCTGTTGCACTGGCTTCTGATAAATTGGAATACAAATTATTTCTATTTTGTTCTTTAAAATATTGTGTAAATGTGTGTCCCTGGCTTTTTCTATGGTGGAAAATGTAAAGTTGAAGCTCTTTTTAATTTGAGTTTCTGTCCAAAACATATTGGAGATGTAAATAAGACATGAATGCAGCTGGTGTTCAAATATCATTTAGAAAAAAAACCCATAAAAACCCAAATATGATAACAATGAACATGATTCTTCTTCACTGTCACCTAAATGTAAAAGTGGATGTGCATTGGCCACAATCACTTGTCATATGGTCTAACCTGGTTGTTGTGCTTCTTTCTGTAGATGTGAAGAACCTGGAGAACTTCCACCTGGTAGAAAGTGTCCAGGAGCAAGTCAACGCAGCACTGCTGGACTACGTCATGTGCAACTACCCTCAGCAAACGGACAAGTTTGGCCAGCTGCTCCTCCGGCTGCCGGAGATCCGAGCCATCAGCTTGCAGGCCGAAGAATACCTTTACTACAAACACCTGAACGGGGATGTGCCCTGCAACAACCTGCTCATTGAAATGCTACATGCCAAGAGAGCTTAGGAGTTGGACTGCGCTACCCATAATGCAGCTATGCAGACGTTCTGAGAGTCCTGCTGCAGCACATGAACTCTAAATAATGCTTTCACCAAACTGAACCTCCAGCTAAGACTTGACTGTGTGATGTGGACACACCATATTGATCCCTTTATGCTAAAAGAAAGGAAGGTCTAAAGAAGAGCAGCTTCTCCTAAACCACACAGACGATACTGAAAGGAAAAAAAAAAACACTTGAAATAAACTGCATTTGACACAGAGAGATGGGAAGTAATTGTCAGCACTTGCACAGACTATCAAGCCTGGCAGGCTGCAACTTAAAGAATTAATAACCCTTGAGTGTTTTAGCGCTGGTGACACTGTGGGCGGCTTTTTGTGCTGAGAAAGGAAGGTGAGTAACAGTGCACATCTTTCACACAGCTTTGTGAGTAGAGCCGCGGCTTATTTCGTCAACGATCCTCCGGTGTGCTCCCTCACTGAAACCAGCTCTCAGCTGTAGTTGGTACTGTAAAGACAAAAAGGACAAGCATTCAACCAGGCCAGAGACTCTGATCTACCGTCACACTTTTTTTTAAACCTGCTTAAGAGGCCGCCCCGGCAGCTTGACCTGATTGAAATGGGGAGAACTGAAGATGAAAAAAAAAAGGTCTAAAAATAAACTTTCTTTCATGAACAAAATAAAAAAAAATAGGCCAATAAGAAGAAAAATACAATGTTTTTTTTTCCTCTCGTAAGGGAAGTCATTTGCTTCTCATGGTTACCTTGTGGATACTCTTTCTTATTCCAACTCCCTGAATCATCTTAAACTATGTACCTCAGAAACACCAGTGTTAAATAAATTCAATTCATAATGTCCGCTGAAACAGTTGTATTTATAGCCCCAATTATAGCCCCTTTTATTTCATCACAACTGGAACAAAACAAAGCTTGATTCTGGAGACAGAGAAGGATCGACCCTGCCTTTGTCCAGAAAGACCAAAGCCTGAACAGAAGGAAATTACAAAAACCTTAATAATCAGTATTATAACAAGAAAAAAAAAAAGATTTGTGATGTCACAGTTATGTGAGTCTTGCCTTATTTCATGACCATGCTAGCTAACCATGCAGATGTGAATGGAAATATGTACAAATATATATATAAAGTATCAATGTTGTAAAAATTTACAAAAGAGTAATTCAACAGGTGTTTACATTCATGTGTTCATATGGGAGAGAACTGTGATGAGGCAACAATTGCAAAGCAATGATTTCTTAAAAAATGAAATCAATGAAATGAAAAAAAAGAAAAAAAGATCCCTCTGGTTTGCGTTCTTTGTTGGGTGTAAAGTGTTTTATTTTCTATTTGTTTTGAACAGTACTTAAATTATGTCGTGAGACACTAAAATCAAAAAGGAATCACACTTAAAATATTAATTTCTATCTATGTCTGCTGGCATTCAAACAAGTTTCTTAAGTATTTCTGTAAAGGGTTCCGTTTCACTTTCAACCATTTTTTTGTAGACGTTTTCTATTTTATTTCACAGTGCTTTAACCTTTTGGATGTACAGTATGTCACTGGTTACGCTAAATGATAAAGATAATTTATTGCGTGTCTGGGTTTCCATCTATGTGTTACATGACGCAAGGTGTCCGCGCCAAAATAAATTTGTCTACTGTAGCATGTTCTTGTTTCGTTTTGGTTGAAAGATGCAGGTCTGGAGCAAAAAAGATAACAGACTCTCAAAAGAAAAAAAATCTTCATAATTTGTTTTGTCTTCTAAATGTTTATACTTTCTGTAAATGGAATTGTTTTCAAGTGAGTAGCTGTGAAACGTGTCACCTCCGTTCCTCTTATTGAATTTCAACCTGCATCATTGTTCTGTTTGCTCTTGTACCAAAGACGGCATCTTTCCCCTGTGAGCTGTGACTGAAGTATTGTGTCCAACATGAACAAAAGTGGCGTTTTCCCCCCCATATAACATGAAACCCTAAATTATTTTCATGTGGAGTTTTTCACATGTACTCTAGGTGTTGTTACTGCTTTCTAAAATGTCCAAATTCTTGCCTCTCACAACAAGCTGTTTTAATGCATTTACCAGTTGAACATTTACTTAATTTAGTCATCGAACTATCAAAAGTCTTTCAATGGTGTGTTTAATGTACAGAACATTCACTTAAATCATGACATCAAGCCGGTCCCGGTCCTGAGTTCATTTTTCTTACACCCTCATGAGCTGTGTCTATTGATCAGACAATCTTTCATCTGTTTCTAGATCCTGCCTCTGGACTTCCTGTAACATAAATGTCAACTCTACACAACATGCACATGAATGTGGTCATTGCTAGAGTCCATTTTTCTAACTTCATGTTTGAGTTTTCAGTCATTTTGCCAAAAGCTTAATCTTCAATGTATAATTCAACATTACCTTATAAGATAGATTAGTATGCAGGATAAATGCTTTCAAAAGGACTTAAACAATGACTACCTTTTTTCAATCACATGCTCATACACAACTTGCTACACAATGCATCAGACATATTTCTCTGCCACTTGTCTATCACTTTTGCTCCTCATGCTGACAACCACACTGCCCCCATCACTACCCTCGTCCTGCCTCTCTGAGGCTGATTGAAAATTTTCTTCATATTTCAATAAATAATTATTATGCCTTTAACGTCAGATTCTCGCTTCCTATGCAGCACTGTCCAGTTCCATTACATGAGTAATGTTTCTCTTTGTGGGTGAAGTTATTAGTTACTCCATAAACTTTGCTTAATGCTTTCATAAAAACATTCATGAATCAGAGAGGAATTCCAAACTGATCATCCGATTTGGAAATGTGAGATGGGAATCATTAGGTTTACATTTAAAGTGAAAACACATTTAATGTATTATGATTACATTTCTAAATCAATGTTGCAGTATAAAAATGTAAAGACCAGGTGCCCATGTATTGAACCATTTTAATGTTGTAGGACATTGTTTTTTGAACACGTCTTTTAATCAGGACCTGCTCAGGATTAAATATGTTAGGAACCATTTTTTGTTTTTAAGTGTTGAAGATAAATCCCTTTATAAAAAAGTACAGGTACATAGATAGAATCCATATTCCTTCTTTTATCATTATTTTAAGCAATCATTTGATACAGTAATTGATCTGAATACAAGCAGAGCAAGGTGTTAGATGAATGGCTGTGTAATATTATTCAGCTTAGTATTTCATGCCATTCTGGCCTTTATTTCATAGTGTGACTGTATGTGGGGCTGGGGGGTGGACATCACTGTTACATGATATGCATCTTACATTTACTGGACACATGGCCCTGGTAAGCCCTGGTACTTACCGCTCATTCATGTGACACTCTGCAGGCTTACTGCACATTTTTCTGGACAACACACAGTAAAGGCTTCACAAGCAAATGTAAACAAGAGAAACCATGAATGAAGAATACACCATGAAAAAGATACAAATGTACAAAAAAAAAATGTAGGTTAACAAAATGTGAGACGTTTAGCTTCTTAACATCTTAATAATCTTCATCAATAAGTGAAAGGCAGAATGAGTCCATGATCAGTGATATGGTAATTTGGTTCCCGACACCAAATGTTCCTGTGTCTCTTCAATGTTCAAAGGTGACAAAAAATGTAAGATTCAGAAAAAAAGATGGTGTAACGAGAAGGAGACAATTCACCAACTGTGATTTCAAAAGGAATTCCATGAAGCTAAAATCACCGTCAGCAGCCTGGTCAGTCGACGTAGACGAGGCCGTAGCTTTTCCGAGGTGGAGGGCTGCGAGGGAAACAGGAAGCTGCAAACTCCAGCTCCATGGGAACATGAAGGCTGCAACTGGGAGGCAAGGCTTCCACCTCTGAGAGAGAAGGCTTCTGGAGGAGGGAAAGGGGGTGGGGGGTAGGGGACAAGTTTGAAATCATATTATAGCCCTGTATGTGTTCACAAGTGTTATTTACTAATGACACTTTAATGACCAAAACACAGGGCTGCTGTTTTATGTCTCCACTTGATTCTTTCTTCATAATTTGGAAAGACATTAAAAACCAGTTTTACCTTACATGACCTTTCTACTTAGCACTCTGGAATCTGGGTATATTTGTTTATCTTAGTTTGAGTCTTTCTTTCAAACTGCCTCCTTTATAAAGTTTGCAACAAGTCATCATAAATTACAAATTCATTAAATCTCTAAATAATTCCAAAAATGATATAAACCATCAATAATGTGGAGTGATTGTGTTAACCCTATTAAAGGTCCTCAATAGAGGTCTTTGAGCCTTTTAATGAAAACTGTTTTGAATCAAAAGCAATTAAAATGTTAAATGCAGTTCTATTCTCTCTGTGGTGACTTTGACTCCCCTCATCCCACAACCTTTAACAGATGAAACACTGCTGTTAACACATATTAGAGATTCATTCTCTATTGAACAGCACTAATGTTTTTACAAAGTGATCTTTCATAGTATGTTCAAGAATGATCTAAAGACCTTTATTTGTCAATTCAGTGGAGTTTTTGGTAGAGGTACATGCAATCACCAATAACAAATTATTTCAATACTCTTGTATTTTATATTACAAAAGATAAATCAGAGCAGACAGACAGATACAGCTTTCCATATTCTATTAGAAGGATCCAACAAAGGCTGAAAATAACAGTTACTCTTGTTATTATTTTATCTGCCATTACATTTGTATTTTAAATCATTTAGTTAAAAGTGTCTAAAATGTTATAAAGTTGTACAAAAATTATTTCTAAGACCCCAAAAAAGGACATCTTCAAATTTGCCACCAGACCACACCCCCTCAGCCTGACACAGTCTTCTGTAAGGGGAAATGAGGAAAAGGCGTAAAATAGATGCATATCTACTTACAGAGATCCTTACGATTTACTGAAGACACAGTGGACCCCGGTTAGAAACTATGTTTCCTGACATTTATATGGTCCTGACTTCAAAGCTGACAATGAGCTACACAAAGCAGAGCCTAAAAGAACACAGAAGCCCGATCAATGGATATGAAACTGAATTAACCTTTGGATCACTGAAAAGTTCTGGATCAGTTGTTTCTCCCTCTTTCAGGGATCCATTTGTTGTTTTTCTTCAGCTTTTGGTAGTCTGTTCATATACCAACCTCCAGCTTCGTGTAACACTGGACCTGCCTTCACTTGAGCCTCCCATAGTGTTCTACATACATGCTGAGGGTAAAATGTACATTTGGCCTTTCTGAACTACTCTAGTTATTGAAAGAATTCAATGTCATCATAAAAGGTCATAAGGGACTCTAAAAAACTACAAAAACCTACAGTTGACCTTTAACCCTTATACATTTATAAACCACAATACAGGAATGATAGCCAACACGTTTCTTAAATAAAATAACAAACCATAATTCAAACAATGTATTCCTTTTCATTTCTTTCCATGAAGCCAATGATATGGTTTGATTGCTGAGGAAATGATGATAACGTGAGCGGCGTTCTCTCCCATCATTAAGGATTCTGGTCACAATCATGCAATAGGCCAGCTCGATCCCCCGGCACAGCAATGCAATCCTCACTTGGAGCTTTGCTTGCAGTGCCTGGCCTCCTGTCTGTAAATGTGTTAAACCTGCTTTCACTCGCCCTGAATTTGTATAAATAATGTATATACATTTATCCACAGACTCTAACAAGTGCAGCCTCAGGTGAAAATACTCAGAAATGCATGCTATGCGCATCCCCGAAGGTGGACATCAGCTCCAAACCGACCGACTCAAAAGATAACCACACAGAGAGCAAGAAAAAAAAGAAGAAAAAAAAGCACAAATGAATAACTTGCCAAAAGCAACATAAACACTCTCTCCCTCTCACACACACACTCCACATGCACATACTCTCACACACACACACACACACACACACTCCACATGCACACACTCACACTCACACACAGTGCTGTCAGTTTCTAAACAAGTTTTCCTTTCCATCACACAAACAGCCTCAAGTTGTGTCTGCCAGTGTTATGTGAAGCTTTTAAACTCTGGAACCACATCACTCGTGTTTACCGAGATGTGCTTGTATGTTTCCCTGCATCGTCAAAGCTCAGTCAAAGAGAAAGAGATTGAGGGCACAAGAAAAAACAAAAGCTTTTGGAAGTGTTCCAAGATTGCAAGAAAAGATGCAACTGAACACTGGAATAAGCCAGATTGGTATTCAGTCCAGTTTCAGGCACGACGTGAGGCCCAAGAGGCCCGAGAAGAGAACAGCAAGTCTAGATTTTAAAAATAAAAACACCGCCCAGCGCCACATGGTGGAAAAACTTGTCTGTGGCAGATCAACCTGTAAAGAGAACCTACTACATTCATAAGTGACCCACTAATTAATTATATTTGAAAATATTTTTAATACTTTAAATTTCACATGGATCTCAGATCATCATGTTGAATTTAAGCTTTGTGTTCTGAAGTATTCAGGGACTCTGTACTGTCACAGCTTAAACGAGATTCTTAATAAAAAAAGAAGACCTTGACACGGACAATATCCCAAAACCACAACTAGCTCTGTCATCACAATAGGGAACATTTATTTGTGTGCCACTTTACGACGTTGTCGTAAAAAGTTTTTACTGGTACCTGTGCTTATCAGTTGTTACAAGTGGAGAAAATAAATATTCAAATAAAAGGGAAGAATACAAGATCATTAACAACTATTTCAAACTGTTATTAGAAACTTGATGTCACAGAACAGGAACTGTTGGGATTTTCTGGATTTGTAATCATTTCTACCGGCTGTCGAAAACAAATAATTGGACGAAATATCCTTAACAGAGAGAACATGAATAGAAGATGAAATTGATATTACATGATTAATTAAATGGTTTATTAATCTGTGTTTGGAGAGTTAAGACTGGAAGAGGATCACAGGTGAAGAACCAGACAGTGAAAAAAAAACAGCTAAACTCTTCAGAGAGGCAATTAGCCAACTTTCTAATCACTTCTTCGAAACGGTGAACGGGGGGACCGATTGTTTGGCGGTCTGATGGACAAACTTTAAAAATGTAAAGATCGAATTAATAGGCAAGCATTGTTAATGGGAACACTCACTATTGTTATGCAAAAGCCTCACTGTGGCATGCAAAACAAATACACTAAGGTTTGGAGATGGAATGGTTCGAAGGCCGCTGCCGTTTCATTTCAAAACATGCATTATACATCATTGTGCATAAAGAGGAAGCCTACAGCATTATGATGTTTTTTTCCACGATGATTATCCTTTATTAGTCATTAAAAAGAGAGTGAGAGAGAGAGAAAAAATACAACTTTTAAGCACCTGAACCTCGCTGCCAGCATTCCATTAATTGCCTGCACAATGGGGAGAGCCTTTGGAGATTTTTCAATTTCAAAAAATGAGGAGCATGCATTCAGTCGTGCTCATGTTATATCGGCACTTAAATCCTACAGAGCTCACATAAAAAAGGACTCAAGGTTGCATCCGATTGAAAGCCTCCAACTACAGCCACTTCAGAAATCCATTTAGCAAGCGGGGGGGGTTAGAACATCTAATTCAAACAGAGTCGCCCTGTTAAAACGGTTGCACCAATGTCTTTTAAAAACACACTCACACACAAACACACACAAACACACTTTGAGGCACACACTGTGCTTCTGTGTTTGCCTGGCTCCATTGTAAGACAGAAGATCCTGGCACGTGGAGAGATGGCATGACACAAAGAATTAATCTTGCTAGACCTCAGCCAAGTGGCGAAGGTGAAAGCTTGACTGCATGTGGAATCTTGACCTTTCCTTTAACAGTGTCAACAAATAAGAAAGAAAGAGGTCTGTGGCATCAGTAAAAAAAAAAAAAAACATGACAGCCAGAGAGTCACGACATTGCTCATCAGCTGCAGAAAGGGTTCAGAAAATGTTTTTCTATGAGACGAGCCAAAAGGGTTATTACATTTTTGGATTTACCTCAAATCTTTTGTTTGTTTAAAAACACAAACAAAATGTAATCAAGTTTCAGCAAAAAGGGGAGGGGGAATGTGGGAGGTGTGTTACAGGACATTTACTCGATCAACATTGTACAGTTAAAACATGCAAAAGATTTAGCTCACCATTTCAGCTCACTTATTGAATCAACTTATGCCTAACTTCAGACTTATATAATTTTCAGTTCCAGTACCAGTCTGCTTTGCACTTTACAAAGAAAGGTGTTTGTGACATAAAAGACAACATTTGTTACAACGTTGTGCTAAAATCTAACTCCTCTTTCAGTCTGACTCTACGGCTAATTGAACAAAGACAACCATCGACCATCCACCTCAGCGGCGAGGAACAACAGGAACGCAAGGAATACAAAGGACAAATCCTTCCTGCATCTTAACCCATCTCCCCCCTACCTAATTTGTATTTTGTAACATAACAATGAGTAAGGTCTTTTATCTGCTTTTTTGTGAAGTGTCTCGAGATAAGATCAGTTATGACTTGGCGCTATACAAATAATGATTGATTGATTGACAAAACAATCTTTCTTTTGAACATTTAGGGTCATTGTTTCTTATCATGTCCCTGCGTGCTTATTCACCCTACATGGCTGGATAAGTTAAATATACAAGACACATCCAATTTGGTTAACCCAGTGAAGCTTGGTTACCAGATCCCATCACATAAATCCACAACTTTTTTTTTTTTTTAATTTGCAGGCACACTGACAAACTCTGAGCTCTAACCAACTCTAAACCAACTGCTGAAGAGCTGAGGAAACAGACAAGGACAACCATCATACACACACACGTGCACAGACACACTCAAAGGGTTCACATGACACACACACATATTATTCTCATATAAGGAAATACGGAGGTATTTCTATAGAACTCCAAATGTAAGTGATCATGAA